CGCTGGAAGCCGAAGCTGAGCGGAAAGCGCTGGTAGAAGCCCATGCTGGGCCCCAGCCCGAAGACGAGCCACAGAACCCCATGGAGGCCGAGCCGGAGGAGCACCAGCCCCAGAATGAGCGCTCGCCATTGCATGTTCGCGCGGGCGCCGCGGGCATTATTTTAAAGCGCCGGGGCCTCCCCGGCGGACCACCGCACCCCACTTCAGCGCCCTAGCCTGCTCACTTCCCCTTTAAGGAACTCTCCCGTGACGCACCAGGAACTGACCCATTGTCCCCCACCCCCAGTCCCTCGGGCTCTGCCGGCTAGGCCCCGCGTTCGCCCGCCCGGTCGCCAGGGATTGGCCTGGCCCGAGCCCGGCCTCGCAGGGCGCGGCCCGGGACTCCCTCCCACCGCAGAGGCCGCCCAGATGTCCGCAGCGCTATAAGACCCCGCCCCTCTCCAGGACCCGCCCACTCTTCGACTCCAACCCCGCCCCCTGGGCGGTCCAGAGTCCGGATGGGCTGGCGTGGCGAGAAGGGGTCGCTCAGGCTTCGGGCGAGGGAATTTCCAGCCAATGGGAGCGCGTCGCGGTGAGCCCGCCGGTCGCTGGACGAAGACGTGGCGGGACCCGACCGGCTTGGGGCATTAAGTGTTTCTGGCAAAGCTGGGGTGAGAGAATAACACTCCAGATCTAGTTCAGAGGTGATGACAGCTAAAGGACACATGAAGAAAGGGACATCTGTATATAAAAAGAGCCCCTTTTCCATAGTAGGGACAGAGTTTTTAATTTGTATGTTTATGGGGGCTGTGGGGTGCCATGATACTACCTTTTAGCTCTGTTGTTATTGTTGTTATGTGCCGTGGAGTCGGACTGGATTCACAGTGATCCCTCCTTGGGTTTCCGAGGCAGTATCACTAGGGAAGTAGATTGCCCCATCTTCCTTCCGGGGAGTGGGAATGGCTGGCGATTCCGCCAGCCTTCTGGTTAGCTGTCAAGGGCCTTAGACACTACTACCAGAGCTCCCCTGCACTATAGAAGGGCTCAAGGATGTATATAAAAGTGTTCTTTGGTAATTCATAGGTTCTGGAAATTTCAGAAGATAATTGAGTTAGGTTACATTGCTTTTGTCTTAGAAATAGGATCTTGAGGTTCGGGGGGAGTCGAAGCTGCCACCACCACCAAATTATTTTTCTTGTTAGGTGCTGTAAAGTAGATTTCTACCCACAACGAACCCATGTGACAAAGAAGAAGTGACAGAGTACAACTGCCCCATAGGATTTCTGCTGTAATATTCAGGGGAGCAGAGCAGCTGCACTGGTTCAAACCAACCTTTTGGTTAGCAGTTGAGTGCTTCTCCTCTTGCCCTTCTCACTGTCAACTGTCTCTCCTGTCCCCTTCAGCAGTGACCTAACCTTTGAGGGTTGGGAGTTTTCTAGTCAAATCACTTTATCTCTGTGTATAGTTCCTATGATAATTAAGAGGATTGGAAAACTCAGCTCTGAAGGTTTTCATGCAATGATTCAACAGTTTGGAGTTTTAGTTTGTTGTGGTTGGAAATGTCTGCTAAGGCTTATCTTCCCTAAATTCAGCCCATGTGCCTGTTACACCAGTGTTTCTGAAAAGCTTGGGATATAAAGCCTGATGGGCCCCCTAAGTCAGAGATAGGCTGAGTGACCAAGGAAGTGATTAAAACGGTGATAAGTTGTCATGTGGCTCTTACATTCTCAGGGTCAGGGGACATTTTGCAATACAGAGGAGTAATGAAGACTGAAAAAAGAGACCAAGGAAACATTTAACTATAACACACAGTGGCTGACACATAAAAACCAAACCAAACTCACTGCTGTGGAGTCAAACCCCACTCATAGTGACCCCTCTTTGGGTTTCCAAGGAGGTATCACTACGGAAGTAGATTGCCCAACCTTCCTTCTGAGGAGTGGCTGGTGTGTTTGAATCACCAGCCTTCTGCTTAGCAGTCAAATGCTTTAGGCACTACGCCACCAGAGCTCCTGTGGCTGACCCTAGTAAGGCCCTTTGTTGACTGAACCTAAATGTTTGCAGTTCTAACCCACCCAGTGGTGCCATAGAAGGCCTGGCAATCTGCTTCTGTTGAGATTACAGCCAAGAAAACCCTCAGGAGCAAGTCTAATCTACAGCACATGGGGTCACCTTCAGTGAGCATCACCTCAACAATAATGGTTTTTGGTTGGGGTTTGGGAAGGACCCTGGTGGAAGCCCAACTCCAGCACCTGATTCTGAACTTGGAGGCTCTGCCTTCCGAAAACTTGCAAACTGAATGTGAATTTTAAGCTGCATGTTGTATGTTTCCTTCCTAAGTGAATTTAGTGCAAATTATGACTTAAATTTGATCTCACACTACAATCAACTATAGATCACATTGATGACAGCTCCTGTCCTCACATTAGAGATAACCTCTAAGAAATAAAAAAAAAACAAACTTAATAACCTTAATATCATCAAACTTTGGAAAGATGTTTCTCATGGTAAAACTGACAAGAGCTGTCAGTCATCTAGCTCTGCATGGTTGTCAGAGCACTTTCACATGTCTCATTTAATCTTCACAGAAAACCTTGTGAGGTCTATTTTATAAGCCAAACCAAAACCCACTGCCATCAAGTCAATTCTGACTCAAAAATCAGGCAGAAGGACTCAAGTTCTAAGAACTAGTTAGCTTGAGGCAGAAAAAGAACTACTACTCAGGTCTTTTCTGCTTTTGTCCAGAGCTATTTACATTTCAAGTAGCTGGCCTTCAAGCCAAAAGACTGGGCTTTTCTATTCCTCACAATCACCCCACAACCAACTATGTTGACATTAGTGCCCTGCAAGGCCCACCCTCATATTTAGAGGCCTGGTCAGAAAGATTTCCTTCTCAAACTGAATTAAAAGAAAATGGAATATCTCATGACTAGCCCTTTGGATTAGACTAGGCCTTCCCTCAAGGTCAATGTCATTGATCAGGACAATTCTCTTATTTTATTGTTGTTGTTGTTGTTATGTGCCGTCGGACCTGACTCATAGCAACCCCTCCTTGGGTTTCTGAGGCAGTATCACTATGGAAGTATTTTATTAGGAAGCCCTAATCTTAAAAATCAAACTCTTTCAAGAGTTTGATTGTAGTAAATTTTTCTATAGATACTCTCACAAGAGCTTCAGGAAACCCTTGAAAAAAAACATAGAAATGAGGCACTTTCATGATAAAATATAGGGACATTTGGTGGTTCGGAGGTAGAATTCTTACCTTCCATGACCGAGAAAAGAAAAACAAAAAAACATTCCCATCTAATCAATTTTGACTCAGAGACTCTACAGGACAGTTTCTAAGGCTGTAATCTTTATGAAATCAGACTGCCACATCTTTCTCCCTGGGAGTGGCTGGTGGATTCAAATTGCCAACCTTTTGGTTAGCAGCAAGTGTTTAACCACTGTGCTGTTCAATTCCCAGCCAATGCATCTCATGAACAGCCAACACCCATTTGTTAGTGGAGGTTTGCTATGATGCTGAACAGGTTTCAGCAGAGCTTCCAGATGAAGATGGACTAGGAAGAAAGGCCTGGCAATCAACTTCTGAAAATCAGCCAATGAAAGCCCTATGGATCCCAACAGTCCGATTCACCACTGAGCATGGGGTAGCATTTCATTACATTCCTTTGCGCATGAGTGCAAAAAGGGCATAGTGGTGGTATCCTCTGACCTCCTCCAATTTCAACAGGGGGAGACAGATCACCATTAACAATATTAGTCCAAGGCTGATCTCTATTAAAGAGGTCAGACATGCCTCCATCCTTCAACCTTTGCAATTCTGACACCAACCATCCCTCCTACGGCACTCTCCACTTGGCGGCAGGGTTCAATAATTTGTTGCCATGACCACACGGACCTCACAGTCAATACTCAAAATATGGAGTTTATTTGGGAAGTAATAGGTCACAATTCAGGTTCAGGAACACTCGGATTACAATTCTTTGATCAAGACAGCCTCCCCTCAGTATGAACTGCTGTATGGAAAATGAATTTTCTCTGTAAACTTTCACACAAATCACAATTAAAAAAAAAAAAGACAGCCTCCCCTCAGCCATGACTACCAGCACACCACTCTTTGGCCCTTAGCCTCTTGGCCTGGCCTCTGCCCTGCTCCGGCAAGTGTTACAAAGCTCTTTTAGCTCTGCCGATAGGTGCACCCCACTCCACCAGCAACCCTCCTGGCCAAAAGCCCTCAGCTTTCTCACTCCATGGGCCAGCAAGCCCACTATTCTGTCTCATTCTGATCTCTCTGTTCTTCTGCTGCTGCTAGTATCACCATCTCTCTGCACAGGATGAGCTCCACTCCTGCTACTTCCCTCTCTTGGTGACAGTGAGATCCCCTCTTCTGCCTCTGGGAGGACTCATTTTAAGCCTAGTGGAGTGAGGGAACTGCCAAATATCCACATTAGGGTTCCATACACCTTATTTCCATGGTCCCACCACCATAAGGGTATCCTGTACCTTATCTACATTCTGGAAAACTCCCCAGTCACATTGGTGAGCCAGAAAGTACCCCACATTTACATCTAGTGAGAGTCACAAAGACCGTGGCTAGAAGAGCCACACTAAGTACTTCACTGCAGAGCAGTTAGTTTGCCATGAGTCGATAGCTAACATCAACCTGGTAAAAATGACTTTACTCTGGAGAAGAGGCATAAAGAGCAGCAGACAGGTAAAAAATCAGAGTCAGGAGTCAAATGGCAGGTGTTTGCTCCACCCTCTGAGTTACCTTCGGGAGTTACTGTTAATTTTACTGGCCTTCCCTCATCTGTAACATGAGAGTAATAGGAATAGTACTTACCACATTTGGTAATTTTGAGACTTACCTATAATAGTGCTGCATCCATAATGAGTCCTGTTATCACTGCTCTTCAACTCTGAAGCTTTTTAAGACCAGCATCTAGTAAAAATACCTGGTACACATACACCTGATGTTTGTTGGATGAATTAAACAATTAAGCCCTCCTCTCCAGTTTCAAAAAACTATCTTCAAAACGTATCTTAAGAAAAATGTGTTTTGTGAAATCGGGTATAAAATAGGACAAGGGCTAAAACTCACCTCAGCAAAAGAGCTGAAAAAGTCCTGAGTCCTCAAGAAAAATTCTGGTTCTATTTAACTCAACCTGTGGTA